CCACACCAGTGTGGAAAAGCAAGTTGTCATGTTCCTCCATGTTATCGGTCATAACCAGAGGTTTAGGGTTATCCTCAACACGTTCAAAAGATCAATGGAGGCCATTTTCAGGTACTTCATGCAAGTGTTGTATGTTGTTGGGGAACTGGGATGAGAGATGATCAGGTCACAACCCGACCGGACTCCTATTAAGATTCGCACTAGCTCAAGATGGTATCCATATTTCATTGTGAGCACTAACAATATGTAATTCATACCTTGGCATGCTTGTATTGTTCTGCTATAGCCATAATACCATAGTTTCATGCCATATCAGATTGCATTGGTGCAATAGATGGTATTCATGTCACTGCTAGAGTGTCGAGGTCTCAATCTCCAGCATACAATGGAAGAAAGCACTGCACAAGCTAGAATGTTCTTGTTGCTGTTGACTTCGATCTGAAGTTCACATATGTGCTAGCTGGCTGGGAAGGATCAACACATGATGCTAACATTCTAACTAACAGCATGAGTAGACCTGATGTCATCAATATCCCTGATGGCAAGTTCTACCTAGGAGATGCCGGTTATGCATGTTTAGGTGTTTTTCCACCCTTCAGGAAAGTCAGGTACCATTTGAACAAGTTTGCTGGCAAGAACTATCCTAGGACTCCATGTGAGCTGTTTAATCTCAGACACTCCAGCCTTAGAGTTACGATTGAGAGGGCATTTGGAGCTCTGATGAATAGGTTTAAGATCCTATTTTTATCATAAGCCATTCCACACTTTCCCCACCGAGGTTAAGCTTGTTCTGCTTCTTGCATTCTTATAACTGGATCCTACAATGGGGTTGTGATGACCTAGTGCCGGAGGAGGAAGAGGTGATGCCTGATGATGTTGTCAGCTCCAGCCATGGTGTGGAGGCATTTGACAATGAAGCCTGGAAGAACAAAAGGATGGAGTAGGCACATAAAATGTGGGATAATAGAGGTCGGACAAGGATCCGAAGAAGAAGAGCAGCAACAATAGCAGAAGAGAAGAAGCAGTAGAAGAAGAGAAGAAGAAGCAGCAACAGAAGAAGAAACAACAGCGACAGAATAATAATACACGAGGATGGACTTCCAACTAGTTTGGTATCTATGAACTATCTCCTATTGAGTCATTTGACTATTTATTTGTACTGTTATTTGTTAGTAGCTAGGATGAATTGCGATTTGTTTCCTAGCTAGTACTGATACTATGTTCAGATTGTGTGTGGTAAGGCCACCACTGGTGAGAAGTGGTGATAGCACCTTATGGAGTTTACAACAAAACAACGTGTAGTTTGTGAGCCCAGTGCAACGTAGACAACCAAACGGCGGGTCAATATTGCTTCCTCGTGTAGCCAACCTAGATGCAGACAACCAAACTATGTGTAGATGATGGGTTTTGGCCTGTTTTACCTTAGTTGGGCCCATCTGGGACACATATGCAAAGAGGCAAAAAACGGTGCAGGCAACAAAAAACGCCTGTTGAGACTGGAGGCTGAGACGACTTTGGGCATCGTTTCCTTATTGGAGGCATCGTCAAGGAACTCACCATCTCTCTACCGGCCAAGTGTAGTGCTCTCTGCGCTAAAGACATATGATAGGTTTTATTGGATAGGGTGCCGATAATGTCTTTGATGTTGCTCCCTCTTTCAAGGAGTTGTCTTGGGGATACCAAATATAGCTTGCTTGTGAGCATTTTGGCAAGGTTATGTAAGGCGTACTATCGGTACTAAAACCGTCAGACCTCGGGTAGGGGGTTCTGAGTTGTGGATCTCAAATCTATAGATAACAAGAGACAAAGGAGACAATATTTACCTAGGTTTGGGCCCCCTCAAAGAGGTAATACCCTACATCATTCTATGATTGTATTGATGATTGTTATTGAGTACAAGCTTGATCTACCTCGAGATCGTAAGTTGTCTTCTAACCCTAGGGCTAGATGGTTGTAGTTGTGACCATCCCCTCTACAAGCTAGACCTCCGAGTTTATATAGACACTAGGGGTACCTAGGGTTACACATGGTCGGTTGTTAACCTAGGGTTACATATGCCGCCGAGCTGATGCAAGAATTGGAGTACACGTCAAGTCTTCGGTGAAGTCCATCTTGATCATGCCGAAGTATGAGGCTTCTGGAATCCTTCCTCAAAGGATGGGTTGGCCATAAGCTCGGCCCATAGACTGCGGGACGACTATGTCGGTACCCCTAATCTAGGACACCGTCATTAGCCCCCGAACTCGTCTTCAATGCCGAGGACTACAATTTTCTTCGGACACATGACTTCGGCTTTGGAGTCTTCGGCTCGACAGACCAGTTTCTCCTTCAGATGAATTCTTCAGTGATCCAAGATCCTTTATTGTCAACAGGTTGTAATCGGGTTTATTCGCAAAAGAACTAGCCCTCCGACCATGATTTAATCAACCTTCTTCAACATCCGAATGATGCGAGGTAACTTAACCTCGAAGGCCATCCACCTAGGTGTGAACAGTGCATATGGCCTAACAGCTTTTTCCGAAGTGTCACCACTTATACCAAGGTGGGCCAGTGAAAGAACATGCGGTGCCCCCATGTTTGGTTTTGGTAATTGATGACAATCTCTATGGACTAATGGTTATCTTGAGTTATATTTGAAGGATTTGTCCATAGGCTTTTCTTGAAGTCCATGTGTTGGTTTCAAGGAGTTTATGAGTTGACCAAGGTATTATGAAGGAATTATCCAAAGATTGGTCATGTGAGTGTTGAGCTTATTGCAAGCATGTCTTGAAGAAGAAGATTGTGTGATCATTCATGTTTACCTTCAAGACATCATCCAAATGAAGAGAGTTGGAAAGATTCAAGGTTGATCAAGACTAAGTCAAGAGTGAATCAAGTTGATCAACTCACAAAGCGTAGAAGATGTACCGAGAGGGACCAAGTGATCCCATGGTATGGTAAGAATTGTCCATTGCACTTTGTGTACTAACGCATGGTCTATGTGAGATTTCTATGTGGGGTTAGGTACATGTTCATGGGCTTGCGTCAAGAGGAAGATATCATACAACCCATGGAAAGGATGACATCAAGTGGTGATTGTCATCAAGATTGCCGTGTGCAAGTTCAAGTGGAGCATCACAAAGAGATCAAGTGCTTGAATCTTGCCATCCATTGTGGTGTCAATGGACTTGTGAAGATGTGCTGAAGAGTGACTCACCCATAGTGGACTATGGGGGAGCAATCATCTAGTCTTCATCGAGCCAACGCAATCAAGAAAGGTGGTCCAACTTGAGGGAGTCAAGATCGTCATCATCTAGCTCAAGTGAACCATGTGCAAGGCAAAAGTTTGCCCTTGATAGGTTTTCTATTTTACCGGTCTCGTGGTGGTAGTTGGGAGACCGGGTTATAGGATCGTTTGCCGTACTATCAAGGGGGGCTCTCAAGTTGGTAGCTTGATCGTATCGTTAGTAGAGAGCTCAAACCATTGCATCCTGGCATCATGTTTCTTGGT